ATCCACTGTCAAACAAGATCCGCCGTTGACAAGATCGATACCTCTTTCATATCCAATGTGACAGACAGAAACTTCTTTGAAATTAAATATGATATTATCCAAGCATTGATTTAGATTTTAGATATATGGAAGTTAATTATAATAAAGTCGCATCATCAAAAGGAAACAAGTGCATAATTCGTTGGACATATAATACGATATTCCTGATGATTGTGACAAAAATAAAAATTTACTAAAAAATTGATCAATTAAACATACCACGCGATAGGTCATCAAGTCGAGAGGAAAATAACGTGCCAATAAGGAAATTAAAGTATATTATTTTTACTCGTTCGCTTCAGTCTCAAGAGCGCGCAGACCTGAACATAACTCGTTCGCCGCTGAAAAATGTATAAAAAGTGAAAAAGGTCCGCGACCTTCTGAACGTGAGGACTCCGATCGTCCAAAGGTCTCGACAACAGCCTTTCGTCAAAGGACAAAGATGACGACGTCGCGGAGTACGTCGTTCGCGGACCCGCGGATGCGTAATGAGAGTCCTAGGGAAAAGGAAAAAGAAGACACGATCATCCTTTACATGGTTGGGTGTGACATGTCGGCATTCTCGCCCATTCTGTCGTACCTCGTACCGGATCGTATCTGCATCGCACTCAACCATTGGGTTTTATGAGAGAGGTGGATGGATATATAAAATACCATCTCTTTCCCTTCTTCTCTACGTCGTTACTCCCGACAGCAACAGGTTATACCGTCTCGTTCTATTCGACGACGACGACAACGATGATGACGACGACAACGACGATGACAACGAGGAGGAGCAACATTTTCTCCCCTCTTTCGCGTACGCGCAAACAGAACCTGATGCGTCTCATATATCCGCGAAATTTATTACCAACGCCCGCGGCATCACGCGATAGCATCCTGTTTGCGATCACGACGATATAAAATTATAAAATATAGTGTCTCTCGGCTACGAGTTGAATGGAAATTCGGAAATGGGGCGTAAGGACTTAGGACAAAATACACGAAAAATAACCCGGTACACATTTCTGCCATCATATAAGAAGATATAAATTGTATTTATATATATTGTGTAACACAGAATAAATATTTTCAGATAGGATTTTATGCCTAATAATCATTTTTGTGAGTTTTATGAATTTCGCGTTTATGCTTTTGATTACTATTCAGGCTTGAAATGCAGTTTTATGTTAAAAATGTAATTTTACATTATTAAGTTAATACACAATTTAATATTATTGATGTCAATGAGCATTTTATACACTATTGAAAAAAATATTATCCCAGCCAGAATACAATAATTATATTTTACAAATGCTTTTATACAATTGTATTTATAAAATAAAATCATATAAATCTCGAATAAAATATCGTCGCCTTATCTTCTTTTCTTCTACTTTTCTTAACTCTTTTCTCATAAATCTTTTTTGTAACCTTCTTTTTAATTATAAATGTAATAACAGACTGTATAAAAGCGATTACCAGGTTATTACCTGGAAATTTTATCGATCTTGATATTTTTTTTCTATCTTCTTTATTAATTTCGAGTGACACATTAAGAAGTTAATAAATAAACAATTTGAGTCTTAATCGATAACTAAAGGGAAAACAGAGATGTGATTCCACCTCCGTTCAATCGCTCTCAAAACAAGGTCTTTAGGGATGTTAGTGAAAAGAGACGCGACATCCAAAGAGATCAAAACATCATCCTCCCCAATCCCTACGTCACTAATCAATTCAACAAATGACCAACCGTCTTTAATATATGACTTCGGTTTAGGGACAGATTTTTCTAAGATGTTGTGTAAAAAATAAGCCATATTATATAGTGGACTCCCCAAAGTAGAAACAATTATTCGTAATGGTAAGCCATCCTTGTGAATTTTCGGACGTCCGTAACAACGTGGGAGGTTTCCATTGGTACAATTCAAATGCCTAAATAATTGTTCACTGATAATGCCCTTGCTAAACCAAGACTTTGCCAAATTATTAATTTTAGATGTTATCCGTCTAGTGGGATCATTCTTTTTTGTAAGTCAAACTATCATTAAGCAAATCAATCATCTTATTAACATAAGTATTTCTCTTCAAAATTACTGTGACTTGGCCCTTATCTGCCCTGGTAACAAGAAATCATCATTATCACGAAGAAATCTTTTGCAAAATTTAAATTCTTGTAATATAAACCTGTCAATGTAGTAATGTAGTTAGTATGTTTATTTTTGCGCAAAAATTTAAACAGAGAGTTAGAAATACGGTCACGTGCCTCATCAACAATATCGTCGGGAATTTGATAAATATTAAATTCGAAGTTTTTGATTATGTCAACAACAGAATTTACACGATCTTTCTTGTCTTTTGTATCGATAGGGAGAGCAAACCTATCGCCGAGACTAAGGAACTTGAGAACTCTATCAGGGATTTCCTTGTTACTTATATTAATGATCCATTTTTTGTAGTCAATATTAACAAGGGAATTAATAATTGGATTTTGTGTGGACATAACCGAATCGAACTTATTAATTAACCTTAATTGTTATTACAATTGCATATTATTACAATTGCATAAAAATGATTAATAATAATTAACTATCAAGAAATAAATTATCCTAATAAACTTTTACAGTTAAATTAAGTTTGGAGGGATATAATCTGCAAAATTTGAGGTACCCTCAACATGGCGATACGTGACAGGACAAAGCTGAAGATGCGATTCGGTTTCAAGCGTGGAAAGCTTGTTTAGGTATGTGATTAAATATGAAAAAAATAACATAAAATTTTATTTCAATAAAAACCTGATACAATTAAATTAGCCGAAATGCTTAATGTTTTACGTTTTTTATTTCTCACGTTGATTAAACCTTTTG